AACTCCAGTAATAAGCCATGTTTCATCAGTTGGATGTGTAAATCTTGCATCATAGAGTGGGTCAACTTTTTTCAGTGTATCTGTCCACCCAAAATACCAAGTGATTTCTGGCTTTGGACGTCCAGACTCGACATCACAGTGAAATGTAACTTTGTTACCCTGTGTTATTCTAAGAGTGACTGGGTCCCCTTGGTACTTTCGTATTTTGGGCTCACCTAACACAAAAAGAAACAATGTAAATACCTAACAAATAACAAATTATTCTGAGAATTGGGAGATGTACATGTATTGCAACTTTCCAATAACATAATTAATTCATTCTATGAAAAATACGTAAACATTAGTGTCGTCCACTTGCTGTGAGCGTCTTGTATGTTTTAGTAATAGCCTAGATTGTGTTTATGCAGATGATGTTGGTGGTTGTGCTCTCTGCACAGGGATTGACTTAAAGTTTAGATGTGATATTCTAGGCTTACGAAACACCTCTATCAAGTATTAGTAGAATTCTACACGTACACTAGTGCAAATGCTGTATTCTGATTGGCTGAACCTTTGAACACTATGAGCCATTAGTGTGCAGTGGCTGGAGGTCGTCTAGGAAATGGCCAGGTTTTTTTCCGTTTTTCCAAAGTTTTGGAGGAAAATTTGATGCAAATGGATAATTAAATTCCTGAGAAGTCTGAAACGAAGGACATTTACGGTTTCTTGACTTATAAAAAAGTTGAAATTATTGAAAAAACTGATGCGCACGCGCACAACTCAATTTTAAATGACAATTCAACTATCCGAGTGATCTTTTTCAGGCACAAAGTTTAATAATACGTCAAGAAATAATTGGAAACCGTTATTTGAAGTAAATTTTGTTAAGAATTCTACTAAAACAATTAGATTATTCGCTGTCGATTTCTATGAGGTGATAGTTGATTCGGCTTCCGGCCCCATCAACTATCACCTCATAGAAATCTCAAGCTCATAATCTAACTGTTAATTAGTAGAGCTCAGATTCTACTTGTACTATAATGCAGATTGCCTGAGCTATTGCAGACACCCAGCCATCAGTTTGCATTGGCTGGAGGTCGTGTGCAACATGGTATGTTTTCTCGTTTCTTTAAAGTTTCGTATGGAGATTTTCTGGATTTACAAAGAAGGGCATAAGTAATAGTTAATTCAGCCTTTGGCCTCATTGACTATCACCTCATACATGTACTACATAGAAGTCTTGAGCTCATAATGTTAATTAGTAGAATTCTACTGGTATACTAACGCAAATAATGTAATCTGATTGGCTGAGGTACTTGTATACTATCAGCTATTAGTATGCAGTGGTTGGAGGTTTTCTCGTTTCTGCGAAGTTATGGACGAACATTTAGATACAAATGGATAATTTAATTCCTGAGATGACTAAGCAAAGACTAGAAAAAGGACAATCACAGTTTCGTGACGTAGCTCTGAAAAACTAGAAAATGATGGGCGCACGTACACAGCAGGAAATTCCAAAGGACAATTCAGTCCGCGCGATTTTTCTGAAGCGTTAAGTTAAATACAATGTAATAAAACAATTGAAAATGGTTACCTGAAGAAAATTTAAGTTAGAATTCTACTAAAACAATTAGATTATTCGCTCTCTCGAGCCCATAATCTAATTGTTACATAGACAGTTCTAGCGAGACAGCATTCGGTGAAAACGTCATTGACGACTTTACCTATAGTTGTGACTTCAGTCTTAACAGTGTCTGCTGTACCATATTTCACTGTGCACGTGTAGTTTCCTTCATCACTTTCTTGGACATTGTCAATGGAAATAGAGCCAGTGTACGGGTCAAGTGTTTTGCCTGCCATAGGGAAGATGAGTTGTTGTCCGTCTTTACTCCAGTTGTAAGTTAGTGGTGGATATGCAGATACATCCAGTCTTATTGTTCCATTTCCACCAAGATGCAATTCTTGTTTTGTAACAACGTGTCCTGTTTCAACTGTTGAAAGAATTAGATACCACAATGTAAATGCACGTTCTGAGAATTTTGTATCAGATTCTTAAAAATTTTTAATCAATCAATCCACAATCATTTGTTTAGAACGTAACGTCTATGAGCTAAAGGCTTTTTGCATTTTGGCATTTTGGCAGAATTCAAACCTATGACCTCCCAGGTACTGGTCAGGCGCTCTTAACACAAAACTGGGACAGGATTTATTATCGGATAGATTGGGAAGCTTTTTGAAGGCACAAATGTAGACTTACAGTCAACTTGAAGAGTGAAGACTGCACTGTTAACTGATCCTTCACAGATGTACTTGCCACCATCATCCACTATCACGTTCTCAGTCGTTAGTTGATAGTAGTCTCCAGACACTGAAATTCTTCTCCTGTTTACAGTTGTTGTCTGATTAGCTGGGATTCTAACACTTGGTATAGCATGCCTTCCTGGTCGTGCTGGTTTGGCTGGTGTTACCCAGGCCACAAAGCTTTCACCTGTTACCTCACATGAAAAATTGTAGTTTCCACCTTGCTGGGCTTTGAGTGTTGGAATTGGCAGTGTTACTGTTCCTTCTACCAAGTAATGGAGTAAGCAAAGTATATTGGCAATGAATAAAAATTGTTTAAAACGGAACTGAAAAATGATAGAATGACTTCAACAGAAACCTGTGTTACGTGGCCAGCTTTCCTTCTGCGGTCAGTTGTCAAAAAATGTAAAATATTGCCTCCCTCTCGTAACTAAGAACAGAACGTGATTCAAGCGTCACCATTCTGCTTTGAATTGTTGTTGTCCTCTTGTAGATAAGGCAAACTGGTCCATTAAAATATTACTTCGTACAACTTTTGCAAAAGAATCTCTTTGAGCTGTTGAATACGCCAAAAATAAGCTTACCAGCGTTGAAATTTGATTTCCTTCCAACTTATCAATTTTTTAGAACTGGGGCGTTTTATTGAAAGTTCATAGACAAAATCATACCCTCAGGAACCCTGTAGTATGCTTGACTAGAACTTTCATTTCAGATTAATGCAACTGCAGGAAAGAATAAATTACCGTAAATCCTTGAATTAGCGTCCCCCCCTCGAATAAGCGCCCCTCTTATCGGCCGAAATTTAAAATAAGCGCCCTCCTCACCTGCCCCCGATTTTGCGGACGAGTAATGAGACAACAAAGGATGTATAGTTTTCGTCATGTAGTATTAGATTTGTACATTGTTTAAGTTTGTGACCTCGTTAAGTGACCACGTTGAACACGTTAAGTACTAACGGTACCGCGATTTAAACTTTAGGATCAGCTTTTTACGTCAATAAACAGTTTATGTTGGTGTTTACGCACAGATGATGTATTAAAAAGATGATCATGTCAGGCCACGTTTTGGGAAAAATTAAATAAGCGCCCCGAGCGCTAATTCGAGGATTTACGGTAGCTCCGTTTAAAGTCTTTAAACCCCTATATGATTAAAATGAAAGTGTAAAATTGCGATTGATACTAGCGGCTCACAAGAAGGCCTTGGTAATTTCATGGGTCTCAACAGAAGCGTAAATTCACGGCGGTGTTAAAGTATTGCTGACAGATAACACATGTATCTAAGTTCAGCCGATCACTTTTAAAATTTGAAACCTGCGCTTCAAACACACTTACCCGTGCGACTAACGGTCACTACAAGGACAGCTCCGATTACAAACCATAACTTCACCATGGCTGCTCCAAGGACCTGGTGGATATCAACAGAGAGGTGCAAAACCATTAAGGCTTATTTTAACTAAGAAAGCATGGGACGTCCTTAAACCACCATCTACGATCTCGTCCTTAAACAGATCTCGATCTATTTTACCTCCACGATCGTTGAGCAACAACGGTCTTGTTTTTGAAATAAGAAAAGTCTTAAAAATTTCCAAAAGCTTCAACACTCCTAAACCAACTCTTTTAATTAGGGGCTCCTCGAGAAAATGTAGCTGGAATATGATTGAGAGTGGAAGCTACGATAGGCGTATATGCCAAGTATTTGACAGAATACGGGGGACAGAGTAAATATCACATTTCGAGTACGGAACTTTGACCTAAATGACTGTGATTGCGAGCGGAAGTTACGTATATGTCCAAGAAACGGAACTTTCTTATATCATGAATTCTGGGCACGAACTCCATTCAAACCAGCTTAAGCAAAGCGCACGTAGACTGGCTCCACTGGCTGCTTTATAAAGGAGATAGGAAATTGAAACCTCTTCTTACTTTTGACGTATCTTGATTGACTACTTTTAAGTGTACCCGGGGGAGGGTACTCGTTAAAGTTTTTGGTTGGGGTGTACGGCCCAACACTGAAACCTGTACCCTATTTCAGACCAAAGACCTGTGATTTGCCATACCCTATTTCAGACGAGCCAAAATCGACATCCCATTTCAGACCTCCAAAAATTTACTACACGGCTCTAATATATGACCGCAGCTAACTAGAAATGGCTTCCATTGGCGTAAACCGTTTGAGAAGGGCTTCAAATTTGCCAATGTTGATGCAGAAGTAAATAGTTTCCTGTAAACAAAATATTCGGTGAAAAGCCGCAATGGAAAGCATACTCCATATGTTTAAAGTCGATATCCTTTTTCAGACCGGCCAAACCTGCTAAAAGAACCATACCCTTTGGGCCCGCACATACCTATATGGCCGATATAAGGGGGTATGCCACCCCCCGGTTCTAACTATACCAAGTGTTGCAAACACAAAACTAACCCGAGTGTGTACGTGACTTATATTAGACTTATTTAGAAATTCCTAAACCGCGTCGCAGTTGATGTGCAAATATGAACCACACTGAACAAACAGCTGCCATTTGCCATAAACGTCATACTTATTTAACCTCTACATCGTAATCAACAGTATAGGAAGTTTCTGACGCATGACTGGTCGGCTCCAATACACAAAACACGTAACGTTAACTTGTTGAGTAGAAAGGTGAACAATATTCCTTATAAATCTCAGACTGATCTGCTCTGGATTTACAGCTTGTTGAAGTTCGTGGCTACACGTCTGAGGATGTTTCTCATAAAAAGAAAGGACAAAACCAATGTTTTACTTCGTAAACTATAGTGCTTTGCGACAGAACAGTCGAATACCTTGTAGACCTGAACAACTTGAATGTTCAATTACGTGTGATATTCCGCATTCATTTTGGCTGCGTGCCACATTTCGCAATACGATTGACCTTCATTTAATATGTTTGACAAAATATGTAAATTAAATTCTGATTTGTGGGAGTATTTCGGGTACAGAGCAGTGTGTTTCGTAGCAAACGCCGTCTTCCCTTGTGGCTACGCACAGATTGCGCGAGATGAGCAACCCGGTGTGAGAAGACCCTCAAATAGCCCCTGATATTTTAAGGGGACAGATTTATCTGTCTGGGGAGCTGGGGTGAGAGCGCTCCCTCGCCCCCTCCCCCCTAACTGATGTGGCTTTGATTTAATTCCGGCCCATATGTGGTTTGGGTTTGTTGTTGTTTCTCTCATTACTACGAGGGTTTTTCTCCGGGTACTCCTGTTTTCCTCCCCTCTGTCAGCACGTCTCTAAACCTCGTTTCCAGGGTCTCCCATCTTTCTGCCCTGCTCCAGGGGGCGGTAAGATGAGAGACCCTGGGAACGAGGTTGCAAGTCTCTAAGTAGCCGCTCTTTGATTAATCCTGATCTCGCCGGTTTTCATGGGAACATCCGAATTGAGAGCATATTTGACAGACAACTGAGGGTAAACTCCCATATTTTTTTTTTTAAAAAAAAAACAACTTTCATTTTTTAAAAAACAAACAAACAAAACTTCCATTTTTTTTAAATAAACAAACTAACATTTTCAAAATCAAACTCCCATTTTATTAAATAAACAAACTCCCATGATTTTCGGAAAACAAACTCTCATTTGTAATAAGTGGATGTCCCTATTGAACTTCCGTAGGTTCGACTGTAGTTTCATCGCAGCATTTATATGCTAATTAAATGGGGATTTTTCTTACAAAAAATGTTGCACCCCGAAAATAAACAGGTTTCATATTACACACCTACCTTCCCATAACGGCCAGCTACTTCTTTCTTCCCCCAATGCGAGGTGGCCGTTGTGGAGAAGTTTGACTATACTGTACTTTGATCTGATCGAGATGGCCGATAGCAGATGACATAAAACACATCATATTCAAGGCGGAAATGATTTGAGTTCGGCATAGCGGGGTTTTTCTGGCCTGCGTCGTCGCAGACGCAACCTACCGTTATTTAAGGGTAAATTTCCGTCTGCGACGCAGGCTAGGTTTTTCGAGATAACCGAGTCCGAGATAGGCGCGGAGTTCAACTGCATCCCTTGAAACCAGCTCAAATTCCATAGCATATCTGATTTGACATGCGTTTGCCGTCGAAAGGCGGACCTTTCTGGAAACTGAGAACTTCTGAGCCACGTCGCGGCCTCGGTGCGGCGGGGGGAGGAACTCCCAGAAACAGTTGGTGAAAGTGTGCGGCCCCGACTTCCCAAAACCCTTACAAGACCAAAAAAATCTGCGATTTTCCCTAACCTTTTTAAGACCTGGGGCCCGTTTCTCGAAGGTCCCGAAAAGTTTTCACATCCGAAAAGTCGTAGCAAAATCTCAAACATTATGATATTAGAGCTGTTTTATGCACATATTCTTAATATGAACAGAGGTTCCCTTCATACAAGAAGTTTCAGGCGTATACACCTCGTTGTGTTCAAATACTGATTAACTAAAAATGGCTTTGCAGACCCGAAATGTTTCCGGGGTTTTCAAGAAACGGGCCCCAAACCCTTAAATCTTGATACCCTATTTCGGGCCAAAGCGGTACAAAAAACATACTTTTTGGGGCGGCACATAACTAACTTCATTACAGCGCCTTTCAATAACATGCGGACTCTAAAATTCAAAGCCCAACCGACAAATGCGTTTTTCACTACCGTCAATCAAATGTTCAGCAGTTCCTCCCAGCTTCCGACTACTGCCAAGCGCGCGGTAAATCGCTGAGCACAGTTCAGACCGCGAAACAGTGCTCGGCAGTAGTCGGAAGCTGGAAGGAGCCACCGAACATTTGATTGGCGGTAGCGAAAAACGCATTTGTCGGTTGAGCTTTGAATTTTAGAGTCCGCATGTTATTGAATTAAAGGCGCAGAAACCGAGAGCCTCCCTGAAAAGCAGTTTCTAATTTTTTAAATTTTTATTCTATTATTGTAGTTGGGAAGATAGGTAGCTAGTTGAATATCATAATAGGTTGATGGCAATACCTTGTGACACTGGTGTATAAATTAAGTTATCGTATCGTATCTTATCCTATATAGCCCATAGAAGGGAGTACCCTTCTCCCCCGGGGGGTATCGCATATGCGCTCGACAAAGTTACGATAACGTTTTCAAGTTGATCAGATTCGATATAACCATCGGTGTTGCTTTTGGCTTTATTTTCCTTTATGGCAAAACTGATCGTGATTTATAGAACTTTGGCATATCGTGACATGGATGTACATTGTGTTTTTTTTATTTGCTTTCAACCAACTCATTCTTCTCCCATAATTAATGGTGTCTGTTTTGACTAAAAAGAAGGTTCGTACGATAATTATTTCATACCTAACTTCACAGAAGGGCATTGAGATGAGAGGACACGCCGCATAGAAAACCGCCTATTGTCTAGCCCAGCGCAAACATTAAGCTTTACAATAAACCAGTCTTATGTAAATCTTCTTATCTGAGTTAATTTGAATTTGAATTTTGATAAGACACAAAGTTCACTCACAACTTTCAACATATAGTAATGTGCACTGCAGAAGTGTTAATTATTTATATTATTCACCGGCAGCCGAGTTGATGTTTTAACGTTTGATCACACCTTACACTTGTCGACTTGCCGGGAACCAAGCATTCTTTTAGAGCAGAGCTGGTGTATTTGTATGTTAATGCCACAAAAAACTTGTCTTTCATTGAATTTAATGACAATTAATAACCTCAGCTCCTCCCGAAGCTGACAGACAGGGCGGAATCAATCAACAACACAAAGGCCATCTTTGGTTTCATTTGAATATTTTTATGCATGATTATAATGGCGGAGACACCGAGGTGAGCACGGGTGCGGATGGTCTCGATTAGCCTCGCAGCTAGTCGCGTCGATGACTGAATCGTTTTGGAACAACTTCGCGCCTGGCCATGGGAGTTGTTGAGGTTGGAAGTTTCTTCCGATTTCTCTTCATTCTGGGATTTATGTCAGTACAACAATTGTCTGTCACAGGTAAGCTGGCTCTGGCTGTGATTTAAGCACTGTTGCAATGGTCGAAGTCACGCCATTGTCGTTGAGTCTTTTACTTCAAAGGAGTTATCGCTGTATTCGTAAAGCCTTTCACTTTTAACTTGCACGAAGGTGTCAAGGTATTCTGCACCCGTTAAACGAAAGACCCACGAAACATCCAGTTGCTGTCATGATAGCGCATCGTGTGTGAGATTGTTGAACACCACACCACGCTAGCTCCAAAACTCATAATCAACCCGCCGTTTTAGCCGCCCAGCATCCTCGTACAGAACTAAAGAAAACTTAATAAATCGCTTTATCCTTGGCTATTTTTTCGATTGTGTACAGTATTCAGGTATAATCACAAAGTTTGCCGCTGTGATATCAACTGTCTGCCTCTTCGTTTAATAACAAAGGTCTCATCGGGGACATTGTAAATATAAAATTTGGCAGGTCATTTAACTGAAGGACAGAAACCACAAATTAGTTAGCCTTGATCATAGCTTTACTCTCTCGCCACAACAAACGAAAGATAAATGTTAAATCTAGATTCTAATAGCAACGTTTAAAACTTTCAAGTTATCGACCTTATCAAGCATAAGATTTTCAAGGAAATCGAACATTCGACTTTTGTAATAAACGTTTCATTGCACATTCACACTGAATTACTAAATTTATTTATCATACATAGAAACTTATTGGCATCTTTTGCTGGAAAGGCTAAGGAATCAACTTTCCGTTCTCCAAACTTAACGCGAACCCAGGATAAAAGTTGACCGAAGTATTAATTTCTCAAGCCTGTGAGAGCATCCGGGTTTTTCGGCTCTTGTTTCTCGCCAAAAGCCGGATGCTGTCGCAGGCTATAATTTCTCTTGTATAACAATGTTTTTCACTGCTTATATTTTGTGTAAGTTGAGATTGCTGAAACTCAAAACTGAAGGAAAGACAATATAAACAGAAAACCTAACCAAAAAGTTACAAAACTGAACTCAAAACTCGCGCTTATCTTGAGTTAGCTTAATAGTGCTTTGAACAACCTGGCGCTTAAGTTAAGGTTTTGCAAACTCCCTTTAGACAATTCTTCTCTCCCTTTTATTTTAAAAATGCCGAATCCTATATATCGTGACGTTAACTAAGAGAGTAATTCTTATCTTGTTTAATTTTAAAAACGTCTGCTTGCATATATTTCTTCAACGTTTTTGAGTAATGTTAGTCTGGTATTACAAAATTAATTTATGTCTAATTGCTCCATTACTAGTGACTGATATTAAAATTGCATTTAAATAGAAGTTAATCAATATTTTGGTCAGCCTATTCAAGAGAGAATTGGTCCTAATTTGTTAAACTCACCAAGATGATGTATTGAATTTTAATATATAAAAATTGAATTCTTCCATCATATTCAATGCTATTTAACTGTCTCCGTCATCTATCTGACGGCTCGCATTCTCTGTTTTGAATTTTTTTCTGTACTTACTCGTGTTTTTTTTAGTCTGGCCATTTTTCGCTCCCACGGTAAAATATTTTCTCAAAATTAGGTTGAACTGAACTGTTTTGTTCGCAATTCAGTCGCTTTACCTTCTACTTCGATGCAAAATTGCCGTTGGCTATGATGCATTTTAATTTCGTCTGTGACCCTTGCACAGCTGTGAGGCTAAGTATGAGGTTAAATAAACCTTTGATCTGAATCAATAGAACGTTTACTAGTACAACCAGTTCATGGCAGTAGAATATACTGGAACTGTGACAAGATTGGCTGCTGAAAAACAGACAGTGTTTCGTGCCCTTATTGTCTTGTGTCCGCTGCCTGTTTTTCGCAGGTTAGCACCGATCAAAAGGCTTCAAGACTCTTTTTAACTCGGGGGAAATAGAATCGAGTAGAACCTGAAACCGAAGCGCAGAAAACGATGACCCTAAGACTCCTCTTCATCTGGAATACGATCGAAAGCGCACGTTTATCCAGTCGATCGATTCGGTAAATCTTGACGGTCAAATTAACCAGAAATGCCCCCAATTTGTAGGTTGTTTTAAAAAAAACTGTTTAGGGACAGGTGAAGAAAGCTACATTTCGGTCAGTGTAAAATGCCTTCGACAGTTATCAATGACATTGAAGACGCCAGAATTCGGAGGCATCATATTCCTCTCAGGATCCTAGATTCAAGAGAGTGAGCGTGGACAAGTGTTAAATTAAATAGCCATAGACTCTATGAAGTCCTTAGTGTGCCTCGTTTATATGCTAGGGTTCGTCCTTGACAGAGAAGGCATTGTCTCCTGATAAGTGCGTCCTCGAGACCAGCTTAACAATTGTTGCCTTGTTGTTTGTTTGTATACGAATCAGTGATCGTTTTCTTCTCTAGTGAATCAACATTTAGAGGTCGTGAAAAATTCGATAATTCATTTTATTTCAAAATTCTTGGTATATTGTAATAGCCAGTTCTATAAGCTTTTAGGTATCTACAGTTTAAATCGGGTGCGTTACATCCCTTGGACGCGAGACACCTCTTAAGATACGGTAACCTCAAAGCGTGAATTCATTCCAAGATGGAATGATAATTGCTTTAGCATCCACATTTTTTCAGAAAACGTGGACAAAAACTGTTTTCACCTTTTAAATCTAACTTGAAAATCTTACTGGCCCCTTACTCAAAGTCGCGAAACTTGTCAGTTCAATTTTGTAAAACAGTCGTACTTCTATTAAGCGGCGACCTATTAAACGGCCGCCCCTACTGGGCGGCCAGTAATCGAAGTCCCGATGAGGGCTTTTCTTTTGTTTTTACCGCTATTTTAAGCGGCCAGCCCCCTTTCAGCGGCCACTATCCATTTCCCTGAGAGTGGCCGCGCGGTTTAACTCAAGGGGTTGAACTGTAGTGTCTATAGCTTCGTTCGTCGAAAAAGACAACTTAATCAAAGCATGGTAACATTTTTTTTTTTTTACATTTACAGATGCTGAGATCGAAATGTTGCGGAATGGAATCACCACGGTGGGAAAGACTTTCCGAGTTGTCTGTAAAGTCACGAACGAAAGATTCGTGGGCTGGTATGACCTGAACGGCAACAGAGTGACAAAAATCCCGGATGAGGACGAACTACCGGTGGAAAAATACTATGTGGAAGTTCAAAGCAACAGTTACACGCTTGTGATTCAGGATGTTGTGGTAGCTGATGGTGGAAATTACACATGTAGAGGAGACAAGACGATCAAGGTCTTCACTCTTTATGTCGAATGTAAGTAGCCTTGTTATTCAATAGAGAGCTTAAGCAAACCAACGACGGTAACGGCAACAAGAACGCCACGAAACAAAAGATATAATGAGCAGAACAATGGCTGTGCACGTGTGTTTGTACATGTACAAATCTTTGTACATTTCTTTACTGTCTTCTCCAAGACAACAACGTGAAATGAGTAAGTCAAGAGATTGGTAAGTTCTGTGTATTTAGAAGAACGCGAACGACGGCGGCTAATTTGCGAATTAGACAATTGCGAATTTCGAAGGTAAAATATAAACTCATTTTTTACTAGGCGTTATCCTCGGCGTCGCCGTCTTAGTATTGCATTGCGCATCCCTACTGCGCACGATTTTCGCGTCATTAGCGCGCGCAC